ATGCTTAACTGTGCACTTGTGTCTTTGTGGAGGTTTTTCACAAACAAATATTTAAACCCCAGCTCCTCTTCCATAAACGGTTCATTTCGGTTTTCGAAATATGCCTGTAACAGCTTATGATAGAACTCTGATGGGTGTTCGTGTTTTCCCTGTGTGATGTGTTCAGCAGACGGGTACCCCGGCGGACCGGTATGCGGCGAGTACTCCCTGACCAGAACTTCACAGAGTAAATTATAATTATTTTTCACGACGTCAGATTGGTGTGCAATGAAAGTTGTTACTTGTCTGCTTGATGTGAGCCTTATTAAATAAAGCTTGTTATCAACTGTAGCATCTGGATAGCTTCTCAGATAAAAGTCGATATCATCCAGATAAGCACGAGTTTCAAAGGACCCTGTTGGGCCAGGATCAAATCTGTTAGCAAAATTTCTGGCAATTTTGTCAAGTTCTCGGTCAGTGGGACAACGTAAGTCAGCAGACTTATTTTGGCGGTGATCATGTGGAGGCCTTGGGCCATACCCACGATCGTGATTGTCTCGGTGCCCGCATTCTCCACCATTATATGTAAGGACTTACTCTATGAAATTAAGAACCAGCTCAATCTCACAAAATAATTTCCTACGCAAGATCTTTTGCGTTATGAAATCACAGAAATGACAAGATAGACAACTCTGATCATGAAATTGAAATAAAAACTTGTGACCTGACGTATTTCCAAAATAAAGTAATTTATTTTTAGATATATGAACAGGATTAAACATACAAACATTTATTAAAATTATTATATGAATAAATGACAAGTTATAATTTGACATATGAATTTCACCTCAGTGTTGATACAAAAACAGTAAGTTTCAGGTGTTGTAACTTTACTGGCACGCTGCTTAACTAAGTTTTAAGTAAATAAGAGAGAATAAAGGTAAAGATTTAAGTTAAGAATAGGAGGAAAAGAGAATTAGTGAATGTGGCACTCGTTCTTTATTTTAAGACCAGACCAGCAAACAGCATGTCAGACTGCGACACCTCCGGAGCTAGACTTCCTTTTATCTTAACAAATGTGTTCTTTCTACCTTTTAGACGTCTTCAGTCATGGCCGAACGGCAGGCAGGTAGACGGTTTGTGAGTGAGATCATGCGAAGTCCGCAGGTGGATAATGTCGTCATGACATCATGGGCTGAGGAGGGAGACTCCTGTCTCACCCTAGCGAGCCCGTGGCTTCAGGCGCGGTCTCCKTAGAACAGTGCTACTCRGCATGTTAGTAACATCCATACWGGYGTCCAGAGACGGACATTCACTCCTCAGAGAGAGAGCCAGTCAGAACCATCCTTCCTCCAACGACAGACAAGAACAACTACTGTTAACTGTGTGAAGAGAAAAGATTAGGTTCTTGAGAGAGAAAGAGTGAGAAGCAAAACAAATCTGTGTTTCCCACACTGGGAGGCCAGCTGCGGTGTTGTTTATCAGCAAAGGACCTTGGAAGTCTGGAAAGGCAGACTTAACTGTCATCTTAAAGTTCACTTCACCTAAGGTTATGAATCACAGCTTTGCACAAATGGATTAACAGTGAAATTACTAGTACCATAATTAATCATTAAATCAACTTAAAAAATGATAAAACCATGATTAATAAGCCAGTACTAAGAAAAAACATTAAAACACATTTCAACTCTTTTTTTCTTCACAGTGTTATACTCTGGAACAAAGAGAGATGCAAAGATTAATTCAATAAAACTTTGAGTAATGATATATTGATTAAAACCTCTTTTAAAAGATTAAATGAAATATATATAGAACCTATTGTTCTATTCACTTAAAGAAAATAGAAACAACATTTAAAATGACTTTCTTCTTATAAGTGTAAAAGCAAATCAAAGACAAAAAAAATAGAAATGAACATTTCACCAGGGTTACCCCTACACATACATACATACGTATGTAAGTGCATGCGTGTATGTGAAACTGCAAAGCCATAAATAATTAGGGGCCCGTTATTGGCTCAAGCCGTGGCCCATATTCCCCTAAATCCGGCACTGCACACAACTCACAACAAAATGGTTTCTCTTCTGTGTGGATTCTCATGTGTCTGTTTAAATGGACTTTAGTGATAAACCTTAGATCACACAGCTCACAGCGAAATGCCTTCTGTCCTGTGTGGATTCTCACATGCGAGTTTAAATTGCTCTTTCTGGTAAACTTTCGCCCACACAGCTCACAACAATATGGTTTCTGTCCTGTGTGGATTCTCATGTGTGTGTTTAAATGGCTCTTTGTGATAAAACTTTGACCACACAGCTCACAACAAAATGGTTTCTCTCGTGTGTGGATTCTCATGTGTCTGTGTAAATCACTCTTTTTAGTAAACTTTCGCCCACACAGCTCACAAGAATATGGTTTCTGTCCTGTGTGGATTCTCATGTGTTCCTTTAAATGGCCGTTGGTGGTAAACCTTCGCCCACACAGCTCACAACAAAAAGGCTTGTGTCCTGTGTGGGTTCTCATGTGTTTGTTTAAATCACTCTTTGTGATAAACCTTCGATTACACAGCTCACAACGAAAGGGTTTCTGTCCTGTGTGGATTCTCATGTGTTCCTTTAAATGGCCGTTTGTGGTAAACCTTCGCCCACACAGCTCACAACACAACAGCTTCTCTCCTGTGTGGATTCTCATGTGTCTGTTTAAACTGTTATTTATGGTAAACCTTTGCCCACACAGCTCACAACAAAATGGCTTCTGTCCTGTGTGGATTCTCATGTGTTTGTTTAAACTGCTCTTTCTGGTAAACCTTTGTCCACACAGCTCACAACACAACAGCTTCTGTTCATTGCTGTTGTTTTTAACACCTGATTCAGGAACCCTGCTGGGAGAAGACTCACAGTCTTTAACAGATTTTGACCCAGAGTCTAGAAAATGTTTCAGCTGAGAGTCAGGATTGTTCACATCATTATCCTCTTCATCATCCTCACTGACTTCAGTTTCTGAGRAGTCAGAATCMTCTTCATCATCCTCACTGACTTCAGTTTCTGAGGAGTCAGAATCCTGAGCTGGAAGATCTCTGACTTCAACTTGGTGTTGATGAAGCTGTAAGAACAGAGGTTTATCTTCATCATCCTCAGGCTTCAAAGGAACTGCAGTGAACGTAAAGTTGGTGGCATCAGTCTCCTCCTCCACTTTGAGCTGCTCTGCTCCCAGACTGCTCCACAGTTCCTCCTCTTCCTCTTTTATGTGGAGGTGTTCTTGGTCCTGCTGGTCCACATCAGGCTTGTGTTCTTCAGGATCTTCTTTAATCASCACCTGACCCCCTTCAGGAACCACTGAAACACATGAACAGGACATTAAAGGACAACTGTAGCTTTATATTCACACATACATCTCTTGTTAGACTGCTCAGGTCACAATGTTGGTTTGTTTTAACCAAACAGGTTTCAGAGCTAAACTGGAGCCAGAGCTCACTTAGTACCAGGGGTCGGATTTATAAAACTGGCGTACGCACAATTTGAGCCCAGAAACTTGCGTACGCCACTTTTTACGCTAAGGTTGTGATTTATAAAATCCAAACTTGACGTGAAAATGTGCGGTGCCTCACAGCTCTGACCCATGCTACGCTCAGCTGCGACACAGATGGTGAAGTGAGGAATTAGAGCCACACTGTGTAATGATCACTGTCAGATTTTTAATTTACATTCATAATCAGACTTAGGTTTTTATTCAACTTTATCATCAGCTTTCTTAACATCATTATTTATGCTTCTGTTGCTGCTGCTGAGCCATGAGGACC